GTTTCAGTTTCAGCACAGCCTGATTAGCACAAGCAGCTGTTTGTCGGTTGGATCGTCCTCCCGACCATCAGTTGTTTCAGGTTGCAGGGATTGCCTTCGCCTATTGCCACGTCCACGGGTCCCATTTTCGGCCTCCGCATCCCATTTTTGGCCTCTGTGCACCCCATTTTTGACCTTCACATGCCCCATTTTCCGCCCATTCCAATCCCTGCCATCCAGAATGGGCGAAAAATGGCGCGCACAGAGGCTGAAAATGGGGTGTGTGGTGGCTGAAAATAGGATGCGAAGGCCAAAAAATGGGGCACGCGGAGGCGGCAATAGGTGAAGGCAATCCCTGTAGCCTGAAACAGCTGATCGTTGGGAGGTCAATCCAACCAACAATCAGTTGCTTGTACTAATCAGGCTGTGCTGAAACTGAAACTGAAACTAAAACAGGCTGTTTGCTGTTTGCTGCAAGGAGGCAAATTGCTGGGAGGCAGAGGCAGATTTTCTTGTTTTCCTCCCCAAAAGCTAGGTGCATCTTATACTTTGGAGCATCTTATACTCTGAAGATGTATTCCACATCTTCCCCAAATAGTTTATAACTTTCTTACATTAAATACATGAGAATTCAAATTTGTACATGAATATTACAGCATATACATTATTCTTTTGATCCACAGTAATATATAGAGAGTAATTATATATAATTTACTAAATTTCATGTACATTTTTGGAGCAGTATTTTCTTAAAACTAATTAATAGCTGTTGTTATAGAAAAATATTCTATAGAATCTTATCACATAAACAGAAAGACAAGACTAACACACACACACGTTTGAAACATAAAAATTCAAATCCATTTACTCCAAATACCCAGATAAACATAAACATGTTTTGTATTTGAAATTTCATAATTCCTTTTGTATTTCTATGCTTCATCATCCTTGCTATATTTTATTTTTATTGATTTTATTGAAATTCCTTGGTTTGATTTGATAAATTACTATGGTTTGTCAGTCAGCCAGATATTTAGATTGCATTTGGAATTTCTGTTCATCTATCAAACCTATTATTATTATTATTATTATTATTATTATTATTATTATTATTATTA